TGTGTGTGTGTGTGTGTGTGTGTGTGTAACATTAGGAAGTGACCCAATAATCTTAACTATTATGAAATTGATCAAAGCCTGTCTCAATAACCTTCATATACAAGTTTTGTCTTGTATCTGGAGCACATCTGTGTAAATTTTTTGGGGAGAATGTGCTTTCAATTAGAGGGAGGAGGTTAGAACATTTTGTGGAGAATGGAATTGGGGCATTCTTTTCAGGTATTATAGATACTGAACGCTGATTTCCTGATTTTTCCTCTCTCCATGCATTTCATGGTCTACTCAATATATAAGCTGTCCCTTCTACTTAAAGCCAAACCATCTGACTAATAATTGATCATCTATCAAAAATCAGCAATAACTCATCTTTGCATACCAAACTCAACCTACTTCCAAAGACCTCTTTACTCTTATCTACTTTTGCATACCCTGTTCTGGTTCTTGTAGTTTTTGGTTCATTTTCATACATGGCCCCCTAGCCAGGTTCCTACCACTGGTATGTCTTCTCACTGTGGGCAGTGGCAGGTGTAGACAGGTGCTGGTAATAATTGAATCAAATAGCAAAACTTTGCTACCCAGTCATCATATATATATATCAGTATACACACCTGAGGAAGGGACCACAGTGAATGGTGCATTTCATAAATGACTCTGCTTACACACTCTAAATGGGACAATGTTTTTTTCCTTATATTTTCATATCATCAGTTACCTTTCATAATTAGGCTAGCTCATTTATTGCCAAATACAACTCAAGATTGGAACTTGTTTCGAGGTTGTTGGGGTGACTAATTTTTGCCACTAGAAATAACTCTATCACTATACAGAGCCAAAAAAGTGCTCTTCTTCCCATATGTCTTCAAGGTCATAATTATAAAGATATAAATACATACAGCCCTGGAGAAGTGCACAACAGTGCATTTGATAAACAACTGATATTCTAGAGGGACAACACAATTATTTTCATTTAAATCTTTTTTAATTTTTTTTATTTTTAAATAAAACCTGTCAAACTCCCCATCCCATTTTTATATTAATTAGAGAAGCACAAATTTAATATTGAATATTTCTAAGCATATGTACCAGTATTTATTGTAGTTCTGGACTGATTACACTAGTTTCATTATATTTCTTCACACCCAAACCCTGCATGACCCCTCCCCTTTGAGCCAAAGACAGGAAATCAAAGCGATCTTTGTATGGAAAAATTAATAATAACCTACCCACACAGTTGCTTTTCCATCCATCATTTTCAATATGAAACACTCTTCTGTCTATCTAAATTGTACATTACAGCACATTCAACCAGATAGTTAGTTCAATATCATTTCCCTGCATATGCTTTTGCTGCAGTGATTTATTGCAGTAAGGCTGTTTATGATAGCACCTGGCATCACTCTGCATGTAGTGCTAAAATACCTCCATCCTTCCTTGAAAATTCATACATTGAATACAGTGTAATGCCACAAACTGCACACCCAATGCAAGCATCAACCAGCATTCCGTGTATCAATTACATGTAAAAACAGAACCTCAAAGTTGGATAAGAAATCTATATTGAAACCTGTATTGAATGGTTTACATAATACCAGTCTAGTTCTCACTACATTCTTACCCATTTTGGTCAGAGGCGGCTCCTGGGGTTCCTTTGCCTTTAACTCCCGACATGGCAGTATCCTACAGCAGTCAATCTATGCTGTGATATCCTACAGTTCTGAGGCTATATAATATCCTAGCAGATACAAACAAAGAATATACAATCCCTCTGGTCCAAAAAATGTCTAGCCCCTCATCTTGAACCTAGCTATAAAGCTCTACAGCAATCCACCTCCTAGCTTCTTCTCTCCTATCTACCTTGTTCAGTATATATGCCAGTTGCAGCTGTTCTCTAGGTATCAGCCTCAGCATATGTAGTGAAGTAGTTTCTAAAATAATCCACAGTCAGCTACCTGGAAGTACAGGAGCCACCACTGTGTTATTGATAATACATCACTGGGGCATCTCTCTGTGAGCCCTCCTCCCCCATCCTCTGTATACCCATGTACCTACAGTTCCTGGCAGACAGGCTGGAGGGTAACACATACTCTAGATGTAGTACTTGGAAGCTGGATGGGATTATTACTGATCTACTCTGGAGTTTGCGCTGCAAATCAGAGCCATTTCATTGCACAACAATGCGATTCTGACACCTGAACTACCACTTAGATATAGTATACCCTTCCATCTCTCTCTACCTGTGGATGTTATGGGGAAAAGGAGAAATGCAAGTTCTATATCTTCACTAATCCTATATGACCAATTGTCTGAAAATACCACTATTTTCTCTACTTATTTATAGACAAATCCCACAATTTATTGATCAATCTGGAAATGCGCTGCTTTGCGCTTTTCTATTCAGATATATAGAGAATACATCTAATTCTGATTAGTCTTTACAGGTAATACATTCCTGAAAAGCTTTCTGCATAAATTTTTGCAAGATCATGACTACATTTTAACATATCACTATCCTTGATACCCACACAACTGTTTATTGTGCAACTTCTCGTTTCACATCATAATCTAGCAAACATCCAATTACAGGTAACATAAATCACTGCATGCTGTTTTTCAATGTGGTAGAAAAAGATAACAGCCAACACGGCAGTAAATAAAGAAAACTGGACTTGTCTGTACCTGGTACAATCCATCTAAAACCGCCTGTAAGTGAATGTAATTTGATGTCATCTACATATACTGATAACCCAGTTGCCTGGATTCTTAGATTTCAAGGTGCAGTCACATTGGACAAAAAAATGTCCTGAGAAAGCTAACATAATAACAATGTAGATCATCTAATACAGCCCACATGGAGATAATCTGAGATTGCCCGAAGTCCCTCAAATTGGCCTTAAATCAAGCAAAATTTCCCAGGGTTAGGAGGTATGTGAGATCAGAAATAATGGTAAACTAACGACTGCAATGACAGAATTTATCCTCATGTAATTTTTTCTGTTTTTTTCATACTTAAGTTCTGTCAAATTACAGTGTTTACCACAACAGTATGAATCCTTCATGTTTTGCATGTCACTTTTGTATCGTTTTCTGGAACAACATTCCCTGTGCCTAATGCTGACGGGTTAAGCCCACCTCAAAAAGACTTTTGCAAGTTTGTAGTTTCCGGTGATGTCAAACAGTGTCAACAAGCTCATTTTAGGCTATCTCAGATTATTTCCATTTGAATGGGTGTACACACTCCATTCCATTGGGATCAAGCATCGTCCTAGTGGCATTCGTCATTGAAATCGAATAGTGGTTGATATTTGTATTTAAATGTAAATGCTCTTTCCATTCTTGATTAGTCCTACCTTATAAAGTGTACTGTGGGACTGCTTTTGACTGCGCCCAAGTCAAATTTGATGACTTTTTAGATGTGCAGCTGTGACAGTTCAGGTATTTGTATTTTCACAGGTGAGCTGTATCTTAGTCAGATATAGACTGACTGCTGTCTGTTTACCTTCACTCAGTCTCATATGCACTTATTGCACAACAGTGGCCATAACATCATAGCATGGCACATGGTTGAGAATTAAAAGTGCATTAGTGAAGATATACATATGTTTACATATGTATATGTATATGTGAGTGGTGGGGGGTGGGGAGATAAACAAAAGTTAGAAAAAATTTAGTCATGTTGAATTATTAAGCCTTTTTATTCATCATCATACTTTATCAAGTACTTGACCAACTGAATTTCTTAAGATCAAAAGATGTCTTCTAAAAGAAGACATTATCACTGTTGCAAATTCAGTAAATCAGTGACACCAAGGTAAAGAAATGGATGGCATCAACGAAAACTTTTGTCTCCATCTCAACCAATAAAAAATCCATCATTGTGCATGAACCACTGAAATCTCTTTCACTGGTGATCTGAAGACTGCATAATCTGTAACGGTAGAAGTGAAGTGTATGTTGTGGATACCCTCCCATTACTCTTCCATTTATGCACCGATGACAATAACTTTTACACATCCACCCCATAAAAATTTAAAAAAGAGAGAGACCTTAAAACTTCAATCTGCATTTCTTCCAGGAAAATACAGATGATTACAGATCTCTCAATCAAATTTTTCAAATTTCTTTCCTGCTTTTGAGCACGGAAAGTCCGGGGGTCCCCAGGCAAATTTCTCAAGCAGCGTGCTATTCATCAAGGGGCTTTCTCTGTGCAACATTGGATCAATAGCCTCCCTGTCACTTAACTCATTGATAAATGTGTTTTAACACAATGCCCTGTTTGATGTGGAAGTTGTAATCATTCAATTTATACTTGAAGTTCATTCCATGCCTCCCAATAGCCCTGCTGGGCATGCAGAGATATGCAGCGCTTGCATAAAACATTCGCTCATGAATAGAAACTGTGGAAATGGCCTATAGATTAATATGCAATATATTCTTTTAAGTAAATCATGGCAAACACATCTGGAGGATTTACAATAATAAGATAATGATGCTCCTTTGATATGAGGAACACAGACCAACCAAGAAATCCATGCTGAAGCTTCTGATGCACTCTCAATTTCTGAAGGAGCCAAATATATGCATTCAATGCCACAAAAAGGCAACCAGACCCAGACAAACTTTTCAGGCCCTGCAATTCTTCTCACCTTCAAACGAGTGAAAATCACTGCAAACTACATAATTTGAAATGGCGTTTTGGAGCAAACCAAGTTATGCCTAATCCCTTTACAAGACAAAATCAATGCAGTGATGACTAAATCATGAAGACATGTTTTGATGATGCAAAACGATGTTCTTTTGGCTGAGGTACTGCTTAATAAATACCCGAATCGATACAAACACATGACCAGGGTATGCAGAATCTGTCACTTGGGGAATAAATGGCAAAGCCTAAGTAACAGTTCAAAGGCTTCAATAACTTCCGAGATGCAACAAATCAATGCTTAAAAGCAAGAAACAAAAGGAAAAAAAAACATAAAAAAGGCGTCTGTTAGTTATTACTCCCAGGAGAGAGAGAGAGAGAGAATTTTCCCCTAAACACCACCTTACTAAACATAACTATTAGTAAAAAAAAAAATATATATATATCTATATATATATATATATATATATATATATATATATATATATATATATATATATATATATATATATATATATATAATAATTATAAAACAAATAAATTAAAAAATGAAAGATCCCCCTCCACAAAAAAAGGACAAACATGAATGTCATTCATTTTTCAATTAGTTATCTTAAGTGAACCAAAGTAATCTTATGGACACTTGCACCATTATTGCTCTTTCTATTTGTCAACCTCCAATCTCTTCGGGCCTTCAGAAATTGGCAGTGTGAATGTTATCTTGTCTCACACGGGGAGGCTGGTTGCAATATCATCACCACACGGCTCCCTGAATACCAGACTCGACTGCAATCTACAGTCAGGCAATTACAGTAACGCCGCATCTGAGACCCAGTAGTTCAGATGACATTGTGTTACCATGGATATTATGGCTTGTAACCATGACAACATCTTCATAACTGATAAACTGGCTATGTTTCTTAACATTTTCCCATTTTCTGGATACTCCCACAACTAAGAATGTTATTTTCCTAAAACTTTCATCAAAAATTCTTTTTTTATCGGCTTTTTTTTCCAATGCATTTAGCATCCAAAATTTTATAATCAGGCTTCTAAAATAACTCAACTTTTTTATTCAAAAATGGCTCAAATAGAGCCAAGATTAGCATATAACAGGAATAACTGACACTTCAAAAAGCACCTAAAATTAAACAATGAATTTACAGAAACACAAATCACTGAAAAAGTTCCCTTTTTAATGACCAACTGGCCAAACAGTAATGAAAACAATGACCAACTGGCCAAACAGTAATGGAAACAATGTCAATTAAGTGAAATTTGGGTTTTAGAATAAACAATAACATGTTACTGTGTGTTATAGTAAAACAAAAAATTAAGTAAAATAAAGCTGACTTTGGACTAACCTGTTTACCATCAATTTTTTCAGCATCCTGAGAAGAAATAAAGCAATAATCTAAAGATGAAGTAAGGAGAAGGAGAAACATATGACACGAAAGTGAAAACAATCTGTAAATGAAATTTGTATGTGCAACAAGGGTAAAACAATATGAGGTGTAGGCCTGTTGTTCTGGTTATTATTCCCAACTCATATCCCTACTTCCAAGGTTTAGAAGAGCAAGGATACAGATTCACCATTTCTACTTTACTCAATAAGGCCTTCAAATATATTTAAATTACTTACCTTCCAACACTTTACTGATACTGAAAACATAGAAGTACTATACAACTATGTATAAATGTTTGTTTCACATGTGTATTTAAGATCAATTTAAAAAATTTTTTTTTTTGCAATTTTGCTTGTAAAAGAGGCAAGTCATATATAAAATATAATAATTATAACAATAATATTTTCTGAGTGCATGGCATGCTAAAAAAGTATAAATTACTCTGATGAACCTGTATTCACAAAAAAGAAAGGCTGACATTTTCTATAACCTTTTTCAGCTGGCTCTGTCCATTTTCAACAACACACATATAACAGCCATATATTGGGGTAAGAAGAGGTGGGGGTGTGGCCACATCTCAAGTTACCTGACTGGCATGTCTTCTCCAAGAATCCCAATACTGTCTGCTGTCACAGAACAATGTGCCACTGTCACTGCATCACTGTCTTCAATCTATGCTCATGTACCAGTGTGTAAATTTAAAATCTGTATATCGACAGACACCTAATACTTCCAAAAATGAACGCGAAATAAAAATCAGCTTGCTATAAGAACTCCGCCTGCAGTCTCGGTTTCCAGGAGGCCATTGAAGATAAGAGCGACCATTTCATCCTCTGTCCCTAGTCCTCCTAGAAGTAAATTACTGAGATTCCTTGGAAGC